TACAGGCGACAATTGATCCGTATAAAGAGAGCTATAGCCGAAAAACGTCCAGAATATGCGACCAGACACGAGTCCATAATCTTTCACCATGACAACGCTCGGCCTCATGTTGCTGTTCCGGTTAAAAACTATTTGGAAAATAGCGGATGGGAAGTTCTGGCTCACCCGCCTTATAGTCCAGACCTTGCCCCTTCCGACTACCATTTGTTTCGATCAATGCAGGACGCTTTGACTGGAATACACTTCACTTCAGAACAGGGTATCAAAAATTGGCTCGATTCATTCTTGGCTTCAAAAGATGAACGCTTCTTCCGTGACGGAATCCATAAATTGCCAGAAAGATGGGAAAAAGTAGTGGCTAGCGATGGACAATACTTTCAATAATGTATTAATTCATTTTATCATTCAAAATAATATCATTCAAAATAATATCATTCAAATAAATGCGCTTTTCAAGCAAAAAAACGGACCGAATTAAGTTGTACACCCAATAGAATTGAGAACAAATCTCAGTGCCAAGATAAACTCCGCCTTCGGAATTTTACTGGATATTTCCAAAAAACACCATCTTCTTGAAATACCATCCATCACTAATTCTAGAGGAGTATTGGTGAACAATGAGACCACATCCAATGAAAACAGTTTAGTGTTCCTCCAAATATAAATTCGCAAGAGATCTGTCCAGATCGAAGCTATTTTTTATTTTCCTATTAGCCGTCGGGATATTAGAAGTAATTAACTTCTGTAAAAACAAAGCCAAATTATACAAAGGACTATTGATAGATGAAACAATAATCCTTAAAGGGTTGTCAGCTTTGTGTATCTTAGAAGAATCATAAGGCCTCTCCCGAGGGAGAGTGCCGTCACTTGATTGCAAAAACCTAAAAATAGGTTTGTCAATATAAAACTTATTCTTCCATCTCTTTAAAATGTTGTGTAGCTCAGTCATTATTTTCTTAGTGGGATCATTTCCAACAACTTGATAAGTATTAGTATCCTCCAATTGGGCCAACATCTTTCTAACATAAACGTTCCTGTCTAGAGCAACCGTGACATTTCCTTTGTCAGCCTTAGTAAGTAACAAATCAGGGAACGACTTGGCAGTCTTCAAAGGATACAGATCCCTTTACCTTTTTATTTTCGTTATGTGGACGACATTGTACTGGCTGCGCCTGAGAGCTTTGTTGAGAATATTTTAATTGTTTTTCATTCTTTCCATCCTCACCTTCAGTTTACGATGGATTTAGGCGAGGGAAGAAAAATTAATTTTTTGGATACCTCTATGGAGATCATTCATAGCAGACTTAGGTTTGATTGGTACCACAAACCTACCTACTCTGGCCGCCTACTCAATTTTAATTCTTTTTATCCACTACAGCACAAAATTGGTACGATCATAGGGTTAGTTCATAGAATCATTTTTTTAAGCCACCTAGCGTATTCCATGATAGGAATTTTGCGTTTGCCATCCGCACTTTAGTACAAAATAGGTATCCCATTGATTTTATTTTCAAAATAAAAAAAAAACATGTTTTTGGACTAACCGACAAAATGAATACCACCGTATCTAGTGAGATTTCATTTTCCTCAGTGCCCGCTCGGTGTTTTTGCATCTTTCCATATGTGGGAAGGATATCTGACAGACTTGGAAAAATCTTTAAAAGATTTAATAATGTTCAATGCTTTACTGTTATGAACAAGCTTTCTGGATTAGTTCGTGTCCACAAGGACAGACTTCCTCGAGATCTCCACAATAATATTGTGTACATGTATGAATGCAATGATTGTGACTCTTCTTATATTGGTCAAACGGGCAGAAAGCTTTCCACACGTGTCTGAGCATAAAGGTTTACCTAGGGATCTTACATCACAACTCTC